AAAAAGTGCCGTAAGCTCGGACTCAGCTTCGGCTAATAGTACAAAGCGATTGTAATATTGAAATAAACTTTCCGGGTACATCCTTCAGAGCGAGGCAGCGCCAGAGTTTAGAGCGGTCGACTGAGTCGAACTCGCTTTCGGATCGAGGAAGATGGAAATGGTGGGTCCACGAAAAGAGTGTCTGTGTTCTAGGAGCTAACGAAGAGTAAAGATGTGGTCGATACAACCTCGACCAGGTCTAAAACCATCCTGGTTCTCACGCGTACACCGTTCACGTGCGGCAGACAATCGACGGAGTATGATGCCAGCAAGAAGTTTAGTTTAATTAAACTAATTTCTCCGTGGTTTTCACAGGAGGATTTGTCATCCTTCTTGTAAATCGATATGATTATCGAATCGCGCCATTCAGTTGGAACCTCTTCCCTCTCCCACACTCAGCTCAGGAGTTTTGTTAACTCCAAAACCAAGGCTGGACCACCATCCCTAAAATCCGATGGAGACAACCCGTCGGGGCCGGAAGCCTTATGTCTCTTGAGGTAACTTATTTCCCGGGAAACCTCCATTTCAGATGAAGGACTGGCAATATTTGCACAGTTGAAGCAGGTATATAGAGGTCTTGTGTCTACGGGGACCAACTGAGCTGTGCCTTAAAATGTTCTATCCAACGTTCAAGACAGTGTTCCTGAATTTGAATCAGTGTGCCATCAGACTCCTTAATTACCTCACGTCTACTTTCGTTGTTCCTGTCCTCTTAATTAAACGAAGAAGATTGTGACTATTACCGATAACCGCAGCCTTCTACATCTCTCTACACTTCTCTACCCAACACTTCTTACTGTCATTCCTCAGACTCTTGATGAGCTGGCGTTTAAGGGATTTGCGCGCTTTGTCCTATTTTGGATCCAAATGAACTGTCTTGCGAGCGTCCAGCAAGGCAACCGAGATTGGGGAGATCCATCGTTTTTTATTTGATCGTGCACCAGGATTTGCCGTTGATTTGATTGACGTTCGAATCGCTTTCTTGATTATCGTCTAGTGTTCACTGAATCCTCTGGCTGATTGTTGAGTTGGGAGGCGACCTGATAATTCCGCTTCGAAGGCCGATTTGCAACCGTCGTTGATACTGTATTGTGGGCATCCATTTTCGGCGGCTTTTCTGCGGTCGTTTATCAGGCGGAGGGAGAATCTCGCTCGTAGCACAGCATAGTCCGTGTCCACGGGTGTTCACCAGTAGGAGTGGTAGTCCTCAATAGATCCACGCCAGCGGTGGCGATGTGGTCGATGTGATTCCAGGGCTGTGAAGCGGTTGGCGGTCTCCATGTAAGGCGGTGTCGTTTCTTGTGCGAGAAGTTCGTGCTTGACAGAAACAGTCCGTGGTCAGCGCAAAATTGGAGTAGGCGTTCTCCGTTGTCAATCCGGTTGGCTGGGATTGCATGTGAACCTTCAGGTAGCCTTTCTGATTCTTCCAAGGATCCCACTTGAGCATTAAAGTCTCCAGCGATTACTGCAGTGTCCGTTGACCGAGCACTGGAGCAGTTGAGAGAGAGGTCCTTGTAGAATTCATCTGGCATATTGCAATCCGTTGGTGTTTAGGCGGATACGACGAACAAACCGACGCTTCGTTGTGTAGCTGTTGATCCGTACTGAAGCATCCTCACGTACAGCGCAAAGTCTGCTACTAACCGTTCTGTTCTGTTCTCACAACCATTAACCATGCACTTTCATGCGCCGGTTTTGGTTGTCCATGTGGATAAAACAGCAGAATGGTGATTAGAATGTTGAGAGCAGATTCAAGCAGAAGATAGCGCATTTACTTGGACTGAAGTCACAAGAATAATGAGAAGATGCATGAGCGCCACTGTTTGTGACACCCAGCCATATCGCTCAATGTCTCTAACCATAGGTGGCCATGATCTCGGGATTCCCAGCCAGGAAGCCTAACAAAACCTGTGGGCCAGCCTCCTGGTTAGGGTTTTCATACCCTCATGCCAGGCCCTCGTTTGACCACCCTTGATCTTTTTCCAACCGCTACCTGCCTCGGCAAATATCTCTCTTCGTGGCAACCTGGTTGGCGACATGCGTAGCACTTGTCCCAACCAGCGTAATCTATGGAGGTCGACTACTTTCTCCAGTGGACGACCACGATTACCTTTAACTCTACGCCTAACCTCAGCATTGCTAGTCCGGTTTCCTCACCAGACTTGCGCAATGCTACGTGGGCAGTGGTGTTCAAACACCGACAGTCTATCCTGTTTTCCTAATGGCCAAGTCTCTGCACCGCAAAGCAGAACTGGGCAAACTGCTGCAGCATATACTCGACCTTCCACAGACAGTCGGATGTCGCGACGGCGCCACAAATGTCTCAAGTTGGCAAATGCCCACCGAGCTTTCTGTATGCGCGCGGACACTACATCTGTGATGCGTCCGCCGGGTGAGATATAGCTGGGAGGTGAACGCTCGACTTGACACAGATCAATCCTAACACCAGAAACACCGCGATCTTCGGATGCTGAATCGCCTGGCATTCGGAGAGTGAAGCGTGAGGATGAGGCTATATCTGGAGAACGCAGGGAGATGACTGAAGTAAGGCCTTGTATGCGTGTTTCGGAGACAGCATGAATCTACGTGGATGGTTTCAAGGATCCTAGCTAAGGCAGCTTGTTGACCGATCTGATAGAGTGTGGACATTAAGTGCAGCTAAATGGAAAGGGGATTTTGCTTTCAAAAATCTGGTAGCCTCTGAGTGGTTGCTCTTATTAGTTGCTCGCTGAGTGATATCTGGTGAGCCTTGTAAACAGGAGGCACCTGGGATTATTTGGGATTGAGAAGACTGACTAGACAGATGAGAAAGATGGTTTCCCAAATGGGTACCTAAGACTTTAGGGCATGACATACTTAGCGGTAGCCCACACCGACAAAGCGGTTTTTCTTTGGGAACCCTAACCGGAGCCTTCGATTCAAAAGTCTGACCTACAAGGCAGTGTGGAGTAAATCTAACGCAGAAGCGTGAACGAAGCACCTGTGTGGGAGCTTCTAGAGACTTGTCACGCAAGGCCTTTGAACTTCGATAATGTGTGTTGTTCGCTGGTGCGTTGATTGTTGGTACGNCGCTTTTCGGGATCAGCCCTTAGCCTCATGCACCCAATGAGACAAGCGGGGCGTGGACGGGACAGCACCTTATTGGCTAAGGGCTGCCCAGCTCGGGTGGCCGATAGCTGTCCAATGAAATGCGAAGACTTCTCCCACCGTCGAGAGGAAGCCCCAGGTACCCCGCTCCTGCGTCCATCTAGCGGGGGGTTTTCTACCGGTAAACTGTCCTTCACCGTGTTTGTTTGCTGGAGTTGCCTCTCCAGGGGCGTGTGGATAGAAATGGAAGCCAGGAGGTGCCCAAGCAGCTGGTCTTGTGAGACTGATCTTCCTCTGGCCTCTACCTCTTGACCTTTCAAGCATGATTGGATCTGCGGCTGATGAGCCATCCTGTATAGCTCGCAGGGTCACTGAGGAGCGCTAGCCATCACCCCATGCCAAGGTGCAGTCTCGTCGGGATGGACGGTATCACCTATGATTTATTAGACTAAAACTCGTTTTTATGATGTTTCAGACTACCTTTTTAATCATGGAATGAACAGTTTTGTGAAACCCTTCCAAACGCACTTGAATTATTTCATT